TTGGGGATGAACAGGAAAAGAAAGCTTGTGGCTTAACAGTGATGTTTGTGTGTCATGTTGACAAGGGGTCCATTGTCTTACCAATTTTTGTTTGTTTGTTTGTTTTTGTTTTTGGAGACAGGGTTTCTCTGTGTAGTTTTAATGCCTGTCCTGGATCTTTCTCTGTAGACCAGGCTGGCCTCAAACTCACAGAGATCCGCCTAGCTCTGCCACCCGAGTGCTGTGATTAAAGGCGTACACTTATGCCGCCCGACATCCTATCTGGCTTTATGTCAGCTTGACATAAGTTATAGGCAGACCTATAAGGCATTTTCTTAATTAGTGATTGATGGGGGAGGGCCCAACCCATTGTGGGTCCCCCCCCACCCCGGCCCGAGGGGCAGGTAGTCCTGGGTTCTATAAAAAAGCAGACTGAGCATGCCATAAGCAGACTCCCACAACCTCTGCATCAACTCCTGCCTCCAGGTTTCTTCCCTGCTTGAGTTCCTGTCCTTACTTCCTTTGATGATAAACTGCAATGTGGGAGTGTAAGCTAACTAAACCCTTTCCTCTCCAAGTTGCTTTTGGTCATGGAGTTTCATCATAGCAATAGTAACCCTAATTAAGACTGGGAGCAAAGTTTTATTTTGCTTATGTTTCCATGTCACTGTTCATTATTGAAGGAAGTCAGGGAAGGAACCTGGAGACAAGAGCTGATGCAGAGGCCATGGAGGAATGCTGCTTACTGGTTTGTTCCTCATGGCTTGCTCAGCCTGCTTTCTTACAGAACGCAGGACCGCCTACCCAGGGATGGCTCCACCCACAATGGGCTGGCCCGTCTCTCATCAATCAATAATTAAGGAAATGCTTTGATCTTATGGAGGCATTTTCTCCATCGACTTTCCCTCTTCTCAGATGACTACAGCCCATGTCAAATTGACATAAACTGGCCAGCACAGTGCCCTTGTAAAACTGGGTAACCGTCAATGTTTTGTGAATGTGACCTACCAAAAGTCAACTAAAAATCCAACAGTGAACCCGAGGTGTTTCTGGAAGCCTCTGGGTTCACCACTTAATGTCAGTGCAGCCAGGGTTCAGAACCTGCACTGTGTGCTCTTCACCTTGTCACAGCAAACAAATACTTTCTAAAACAGACTAGACATCACTGTCTGACATGAATTCCAGTGTTTTTACTATAAGAAGCTTTTTACTCTCATAGAAACATAATGGTTTAGTTATAGAAAACAAAGACTTTCGCTATTTTCCTACCGCCGTTTCTCAGCACGTAATAACTGCTCTTTTTTAAAAAAAATTATTTTAACTTTATTTTATATGCATTGGTGTGAAGGTGTCAGGTCCTGGAGATCTGAACTTACAGACAGTTATGAGCTGCCATGTGGTTGCTGGGAATTGAACCCAGGTCCTCTGGAAGAGCAGTCAGTGCTCTTAACCATTGAGCCATCTCTCCAGCCCCCCTTAGTGTGTAGTAATTGAGTTAGTATGTTTTTGGATAGTATGTGTAATAATGTTTGATTGTGTGGCTGTTGCACTCTTGAGCTTACAGCAGCTAGTGCTACCTGCACAAGTCTGTGTCATCCACACTTTATCATGGGTCAGGGAGGGGCTCTTAAGGCTCCCCCATTTCCCTAACGAACTACAGGCAGTTTTGCTGGAGTGTCAGTATCAACTAGTCAGTGAGGACTAATTCTTTGTGTGAAAACAAGCAAGTAACACCTCATTATTTCACAAACTTGGTTTCATTTCTAATAAATGGTACAAAATACATATTAAAGAATTGTTTTAAAATAAAACTCTTTATGATTTATTATCAGTAAATATTTGATTTATATACCTATTTATATATTTATATACCAGAGTGAAAGGGATTATGTGTAGAAAAAATTTAAGAATCTCTGTTATAAAGCATCTGAAATCATTATGTGTCCTTCCAACTGCTCCTGGCCCAGTAATTTCCTCTTTCCAGTCCTTCCCTCTTCTATTCCCTTCCCAGGTTCTGGTGGCTCCCCTTTCCTCTCCTCCTTCTCTTCCTTCTTCCTCTTCTTTTTCTTCTCTTTTTCCTTCTCTTTCTGCTGGGCATTGGATCCAAAGATGTATATACATCTATACATCTATATACATACACACATATAGATATATAGATGTATATACACACACATATATATATAGATGTATGTATATATAGTTATAGTCCCTATTTTCTACTTTGAGATGAGCTGTTTACTTTCTCCATTTAAGAACATGTGGTATCTGTTCTTCTCTGTCTGATTTGCTTTCCTTATGTAATGCTCCCCAGATCCAACTGTTTCTTCAAATGATACCATTTCATTCTTTTAAAGCATGTTGCAATAAAAATGCTAGTGCAAGTGTCTCATTGAAATTGGAATTTCAGTTCTTTTGTGTATATACTCAGTATACTGGATCACATGATAGTTCTCCTGCTTCCTGTTGCTGTTTTTGTTTTTGTTTTTGTTTTTTTCCGAGACAGGGTTTCTCTGTGTAGTTTTGGTACCTGTCCTGGATCTTGCTCTGTGGACCAGGCTGGCCTTGAACTCACAGAGATCCACCTGGCTCTGCCTCCTGAGTGCTGGGATTAAAGGTGTGTGCCACCGCCACTCAGCTCATTATATATTTAAAAAAAATTTATGTGTATGAGTGTTTTGTCTGCATGTATGTCTGTGCATCATATGTGTGCACGGTGCCTGTAGAAGCCAGAAGAGGATGTCAGTTCCCCTGGAACTGAAGTTACAGACTGTTGTGAGCTGCTATGTAGGTGCTAGGAATTGAACCAGAGTCCTCTGGATGAGCAGCAAGTGCTCTTAACCACTGAACCATCATCTCTCCAGCCCCTGATTATGGTTTTGAGTTGCATATCTTTGATTAGTATTGTTGAATGTTAAAAAAAACTTGAATACACACACACACACAGGTACACACACACACATTCACCCTTTTGAAAAATATCTATTTATCTACTCATTTACTTATTTATTGTGGTGCTGGGATTTGAATCCAGGACCTTGCACACATGTAAGGCAGACTGACTCTGTCACTGACTACTTCTCCCCTATTTTTAAAATTGGAATAATTAGTGTTGATTTTGGGGGGAGTGATGAATCGAGATTCTTATATTCTAGAAAGGAATCCCTTGCCAGATGAATAGAATGCAAACGGGTCCTCCCACCTGGAGGCTGTGTCCTTTGTTAATTATTTCCTTTGTTTGACTCTTATTTTATTATTTTCTTAATGCCAGCTTTAGATTTGATATAATTCCCTATGTCTAGTTGAACTTTTGTTTCCCATGCTTTTGGAATCTCATAAAAAAAAATCCCTACTTAGATCAATGTCCTTAACTGTTTCTCTGTTTTATTTTTTTTAAAAAAATATTTGCCGGGCGGTGGTGGTGCACGCCTTTAATCTCAGCACTCGGGAGGCAGAGCCAGGCGGATCTCTGTGAGTTCGAGGCCAGCCTGGTCTCCAAAGTGAGTTCCAGGAAAGGCGCAAAGCTACACAGAGAAACCCTGTCTCGAAAAAAAAAAAAATTTTGTTTTAAATAAATATTTTGTGTATATGGGTGTTTTGCCTGCATATATGTCTCTGTACCACATCTACAGTGCCCACAGGCCTCAGATCCCCTTGAAGGGGAGTTACAGGGAGCTGGGAATTGAACCCAGCTCCTCTGCAAGAGCAGTCAGTGCTCTTAAGTGCTGAGTCATCTCTCTAGCCCTTTGCCCCCATGCTTTCTCCAATAGTTTCATGGCTTACATTTAAGTCTTGATCCATTTTGAGTTGACCTTTTTGTACAGCAAGAGATAGGGTTCTAGTTCATTCTGCATGCAAGAATGTTCAGTTCCCTAGCACCATTCATGGAAGAGATGGTCCTTCATCCAAGGCGTGTTCCTGCTGCCTTTGTTGAAAATCAGACAGCTGTGAATATGTGCGTGCTGGGGATTGAACTTTTGTCTTTCAAATGCTTGGTAATGGACGTTAGGTAAAGGAAGGCCTTTTTAGAGTCTCAGGTAGCTGAGAGGAAAGGTTTTGGTTGATTCTCGGGTTGCTTGATTCTAAAAGTAGAATTTGATGTGGTCTTGATCTTCAGGGTCCAGGGAAGGAATGTGGAGCATTTTTTTCTTTCTTTTTCTTTGTTGATTTAGCTTGAAGCTTAGTTAGTATGGATTTCTTTTTTCCTCTATCCTTTCGTTTGTAACTTAATTTCAGGATATACTAGAATTTTTTGAAACATTAGAAAAACTGACAACTAACATGTTTTTTGAGGGCCACATGTAGCTTCTTATCAGGTTGCTGGACTCTAATAATTAGCTCTATACTATTTTGTAAGTATCCTTTTTTCTCTTCAGTTTGCAGATGTTTCTGAAACTTTTTTTTAAACTCTCAGCTCCCTCAGGTTTAGGCGCTTTTGCTTTTTTAACAAAATAAACTTGTTTGGTGCCCATTGTTTACTTTTTCTCTTTTATTGATGTCTTTTCTAGGTTTTTGGTATCTGGATTATTTGTTAACATTCCAAAACAAGTTAAGAAAGCCCTGGTGACTGACTTTTAATGTTCCGAAGTTTTAATAAATCGAGGGATGTATTTTAACTAGTGAGTAGCTTGTGGGATCCTACACACGCTTGTCAGGGGTGTGGGAACTTAACGTTCCCTGATCACATTAGCTCACAGCATCTCAAAGACATCCCGGGGGATGGTTCCAGCCTGTTTACTGAGTACACCCCAGTAACTAAGTTTTTAAAAAAGACTCAAGTTTCCTTCCTTTCCCACAGCAGCAAGGGGAAACTGGATCCGCTGCCACGTTGGACGCTCCGAACGTCTCTTGGGAACCTGCAGAGCTCAGGCGCGGGGCCCGGCCGTCCGAGCGAGCGCAGCGCTCCTCTCCGAGCTTCTGGCCGCGGGGAGGGCAGAGGAACTCCCGGGAGCTCGACCCCGCTGCGCCAGGGCGCGGCTCCTCCCCTCGGCCGGGCTGGGGGCGGACGCGGGCGGCGGGGGGCGGGCGCTGCGGCCTGGGGCGAGCCGGGAGCCCTTTCCACGTTTGCAACGCGGCTGCGGCGCACCCAGCCTTGCCCCTCGGCGCTCCAGTCCAGGCCGTGCGATGGCGTTCGGGGCCCGGGGCTGGCGGCCCCGGTCGCTGCTCCTGCTGCTGCTCTGGGTGACCGGGCAGGCGGCGCCCGTGGCGGGCCTGGGTGTGAGCTCGGAGCTTCAGATCGAGCGCCGCTTCGTGCCTGACGAGTGTCCGCGCACGGTGCGCAGCGGCGACTTCGTGCGCTACCACTACGTGGGAACTTTCCCCGATGGCCAGAAGTTCGACTCCAGGTACCCCGTGCCCCTTCACTCCCCAGGGACCTCCGCCAGCCCTCCTCCTGCCCCCGGAGGTGGGCTGAGCCTCCCGCCTCGCGACTTCAGTGGTAGGTGGGACTTTGAGATTGGGGTCCGGACAATCCCTCCCTCCCTCTCTGACCGGTTCAGCGGCACATGCTTTCACACAGTCATGTAAAATGGCCACTCAGGGAGACCTCCAAGAGTGAGTGATGCCCACCCGCTGCCTCCCTGACGGTCCCTCCCGACTGGCTCCTGAATTTCATCCCTTGAGTGTCCAGTCAGTGGTAGCACTGAGGACGAGGAGGAGGAGGAGGAGGAGGAGGAGGCGGCGGTTGAAATTTGCAGCCACAGTGCTACACTGTTGAGGAACTAGACACCGGTCTGTTTTGTATCTCTATAAATATGCATGAGCTCATTTAAATATGTTTGGAATTCCAAGAAGAACCTTGCCTTCATTTTTTTTTTTTTTTTTAAACCAACGAGTTCACCAAGACCAGCGAGGCCTGTGCAAACGGTGGAGTCTCAGGCTACGGGAATTCAAATGCAGTGCCTGTGTGTAACGTCCTGCGCCTTCCCCTTCCGGCTTCACAAAAGCTGGGAGAGATGGCCTAGAGCAGCCCTGTGGGCTTGCCCGCATAGCCTGTCTTCAAGTCTTGCGCTCACATCCAACCTCTCTTCTCTCCCAGGCTGCTGTTACTAACCTTGGGCTGTGCCCTCGTGGTGAGCCACTCCACTAGGCAGGGAACCTGTTCAGCCTCTGCAGTGTGCCTGAGTGGGCTTATGAACACGTACAAGCAGCCACCCTTGTTTTTGTTTTTTTTTGAAATTGCAGGTAGTGAGTGTGTAAAAGCGACTTAGTTTGTCAGTACTGTGTGGCACAGAGCAAGTGCTTAGATACGGTCATCTTTATCATTAGGTGTTTTGGGGGGACACACAGGGAGATTGAACACAGGGCTTTGGATATTCTAGGCAAGCTCTCTGTTACTGACTTACAGCCCCAGCCCTACTAATACAGTGGTTTCTGGAGTAGCTTTTATACCAGCCAACTTTGCCGAGGTATTCGCATGGCATGCAATTCTCCTAGACTGTCGAGGGCTGGTGAGGTAGCTCAATGGTTAAGGTACTTGCTGCCAAGGTGGATGACCTGAGTTCAGTTCCTGGGACTCACATAGTGGAAGGAGAGAAATGTCTCCCACAAGTTGTCCTCTGACCTCTACATGAATGTCATGGTAGAGCCCCCATAAATGAATGATGTGTTAAAAAAAAAAAACCACTGGAAAAAAATAGGTTATACAATTTGGTGGGTTTTAATATGGTCATAGAGTGTTGTATAAATACCACAACTATCTAGTTCTAGAGTGTTTCCTTCACTCCAGAAAAATGCTGGGCATCTCCCACCTTCCATCTCCTCCCTCCCATCCAAGCTCTCTGGAAGCTACTTCTCTGGACATTCATATAAAATTGAGTTGTACAATACAATTTATGGTGCTCTGTGTCTGGATTTTCTCTACGTCCTGTAATGTTTCCAAGTTTCACCCATGGTTAGCATGTCGGAACTTTACTCCATTTAGTGGATACACACACACACACACACACACACACACACACACACACACACACACCTTGTGTAGATACAGCACATTTTATTTGTCACTCGGTGGACATTTGTTTTGTTTATAGTTTGTAGCCATTGTGAGTAACGATGTTGTGAACATTTATATACAAGATTTGTTTTGAACATACATTTCATTTTTGGATATGTACATACCTAGGAGTGGAACTGTTGAATCACATGTATTTGTGTCTAAGTTTTTGAGGTCCAGTTGTTTTTCATAATGCACTGAATCATCATTCCTTCCCTCTGTGTTCCTATTTCTTCATGTTCTTTTTAAACATTTTTATTGTCTTTAAAAATGACATTTTCTGGGCATGGTGGTGCAAACAGCAGGCAGATTTCTGTGAGTTTGAGGCCAGCCTGGTCTACATAGTGTGTTCCAGTCCAGGACAGCCAGAGCTGTATAGTAAACCCTGTCTCAAAACAAAACAAAACAAAACAAAACAAAATAAAACAAAACAAAACAAAACATGCCACCGGGCGGCGGTGGTGCACGCCTTTAATCCCAGTACTGGGGAGGCAGAGCCAGGCTGATCTCTGTGAGTTCGAGGCCAGCCTGGTCTACAGAGCAAGATCTGGAACAGGCAACAAAACGACACAGAGAAACCTTGTCTCGGAAAAAAAAAATCCCAAATCCCCAAATCACATTTATTTATTTATTGTGCACACACACACACACACACCACACACACACACACTCGAGTGTACATGCACGTGCATGCCACAGTACAAGTGTGGAGGTCAGGGCTCAGCTTGCTGGCGTTGAGTCTCTTCTTTCACTGTGTGCATCCTGGGGATGATGCACAGGGTGAGCTCAGGGTGTCAGGCTTGCTGGCAATCTCTGTTCCTGACCGAGCTGTATTGCTGACCCATCATCAAGGTTTTGATCCTCATTTCCCTAAAGATGTTGAGCATTTCTTCATGTGCTCATTGATTATTTGTATGTCTTCTTTGATTTGTTCCTCTCATCATAAAATAGGGAATGATTTTTTTTTTCTTGAACTGAAGGTAATTAATAATTTCCATTAGAACAAGTTCCACTCTCTGGGGGTGGCTGCCACTGTGAGGCAGTATAGGACAGTGGAAAGAACACCTTGGTACTACCATAGCATTTATGCCCTGTCTACCCTCAAGAGGTCTAGTCTCTTACGTTTTTCTCTGATCCTGTCATTTAGCTTAATCAAGTAATTACAAAATGGTGAGCTAGGCACGGTGAGAATAGCCCGGCCTGCACTGTCTTACAAAAGGCCAGACCTAGTTTTACCCTGTGCCTTACATCGTTTAATTATTTTCATCTCAGAAGAATGCATCTGCCCTCACAAGATAGTGAGGAAGATATCTCATTACAGATGAAGAAAGTGAGGCGAAAAATGTCCAAATGACGTGCCCTAGACACCTAAGAATCAGGTGGTCCTGTGGGGATTTCAGTGCAGGCAGTTTATGAGCATAATCTATGTTCTGTAGTCAGCCCATAAATACAGTGGGAGGAAAGAGAGAAGCGATGGATTCACATGGAAGAATACATAGCTCTATGTTGTGTGTGTGCAAGAGGGAGGTGTCAGGATGGAGTCCCTAGACTGCAGGGGAAGACCTAAGCAAGATGAAATGTACTAGCGAGGAGCTAGGCAGGAGGGTTTGGTGGGGGAGGGGTATGGAGGTGGGTGCATGGTGTTGCAGAAATGAGGTCTGAGGAAGAATTGAAGGAAGAGTGGGGAAGTGACAAGCGGAAGCTAGAGGTGAAGATTGAAAAACAATTAAAAAGACTTTAAAAACTTTTAATTCTGCATATTTATAGGAAACAGTGTAGTAGCCAGGACTGGTGGAATCTTGCTTTCTGGATATGGACCGTGTCTAAGGTAGAAAGTCCGTGAAGACTGAGTCCTGGGCTCAGGGAGCACATTCACCTTTCACAAGTGGCTGCTGATGGAAGACTGAATGAGAAGGGCAAGACACTGAGAAGCAGCTTCATGGTTTCCCTCTTGGGTCTCTCTTCCTTTGGAATTTGTGGAATGTTGGGATATGAGTGTGATAGTCTCTTTTTTAAAAAAGATTTTTATTATTTTTAATTGTGTGTCTGTGTATGGATATGGACACATGCAGGGGCCCTCAGAGGCCAGAGGTTTTGGATCCCCGAGAGCTGGAGTTCAGGCAATTGTGAGCTGTCCAACGCGAGTGCTGGGAACCCAGCCCGTGTCTGTTTAGAGAGCACTGTGAAGGTTTCCGCTGAGCCATCCCTCTAGCCCATAACTGTGGTAGTCTTACACAGAGTGTGTGTAGACAGGAGAAATCTACCAGTTTGGACTTTGCCTGCCTTGGGGGGTTTTGCCAGAAGAAAATGGCGACTGCTGGCCTGATGAGATGGCTCAGTGAGTAGAGAGGCTTGTGCCCTGCCTGATGACTCAAGCCCCACCCCATAAGTAACCGTTAAAAAAAGAAAAGAAAATGATGACTTGCATTCCGAGTGGAGTCATAAGCCATCAAGTGTTTTTTGTGCCATGAGTTTTTTTTTTTTTTTTTTTTTTGTGTGTGTGTGTCTCTCTGTTGTCTTTTTCTGCATATGGACATCCAGTCACCAAGATGACCAGACCTTCAGCCCTTGGCCACTGCTTTGGATGTGGCTTTGTTTAACCTCTGTGGGCTTGTGAATATGCTCCCATGTCCACTGCTGCAGATGCAGGCAGAGGGCAGCCTCCACCCACTGGGGCTGTGGAGCTCCTGGCCAGCTTTCCCAGGTTCATCTTAGGAGTGCCATAGCATTCCTAGGCATGAGAGTAAGGGGATCAATACTTTCGGGAGCTCTGATTTCCTTCTGGGACCAAAGTTGAATATGTTTCCATTTCTATTGTCCTGGCAAAAGGTGCCTCGCACTGGCTCATTCACAGCCTTCAAGCCTATCTGCAGACCTACAAGGGACTTGATTGATGGTACCATGTGCCCGCCCACTGATTCCTCGGTGGCTAGCTCAACTTGTACTGCTCTAGCTTCCAAATTAAATGCATCAAAGTCACCTGGAGAGATCATTACACCGTTTCTGATTTGCTAGCTCGGAGGTTTGGGTCCAAGAAGAACTTGCATTGGTGACAAGTTCCTTACTGATCCAGCTGTCCTGAAGACAGGCCTTTGAGAACCCTTGCTCCAAAAGAACCATAGATTTGATGGATCTCATTTGGCTACATTTTCATTCACTCACCCATTCATGTATTCATTAAACAAATACTTATTGAGAGCCTACTCTTCCAGGTACTGGAGATGTAGCAGTGTGAAGAAAACAGAATCCTGACCTTATGAAGCTTACATTTCTGGCGGAAGGACACATACTCTAAGTTACACAGCAAAGCAGAAGTTGGTGAGAGCTGTAGAGATAGATAGAGCAGTGGGA